CGCACTGATATCTGCAGGCAGGTCCTTGAGTTGATTACAAGCCAAATTGAGTCGCACTAAGTTAATGAGCAAAGCAAAACTTGTTGGAATGTCTGTGAGATGGTTGTTGGACAGATCCTGAAGATTTTAAAAAAAAAAAAAAAAAAAAGAGAGAGAGGAACAGAGTGGTTAGAAATAGAGATGTTTAAAATATCCCACGAGTACTGCTACTGCAAAGTTAATTACTGGCAGAACACCAAAATTAGATGGCTGACATCTTCAGGATCTCCCTGGTAGAAATGTGAATAGATGAAACAAGTCTCCCATAACTGACAGATCACAAGGGATTTGCTTTTTCTTAAAATATTTGGCAAACCAAGAGCAAAACTTGGTTTCAAACCAAAACAAGGAAACCCACCATGTACTAACTGACAACCTACGTAAGTCATTAGAATATTCACAAAGTTCTGCCATCTAAGCTATTTTTAATTAGCAGTAGCAAAACATGGATAAATCAGCCTTTCTGCACAACTAAGTTTTTTTCAAAAAGTTTAATTTACCAATTCTTCTAAATTGACAAGCTGTCCAAATCCATCCGGCAAGCGACTCAGCTCATTGTGATGAAGAAGGAGGCTCTTCAAACGTGACAACTGCATCAACTCTTCTGGGACACTTTTCAGTTTGTTGTGGCTAGTATTAAACATGTAACACAAAGGGAAAAACCAATCACTAAGTAGTTTTAAGAACGTTAACTGCATACAGAATACTTTTGTTACACATGATGCTATCTAAACCAGAGCTACAACGCTTGTATCAGCTGGATTATCTTAGCCACGTACGGCTTGTTGAAACACAAGCTCTTCAGACCCTAGAGCGTGTACGAAGCATGTCCAGCATCAGATACACTGGATATTCTGTGCTGGCACAGACTAACTACTAATTACATCTGCAGCGAGACAGGCTTCTGCAAAACATTCCCACGCCGCAGCACGCACATATGCTTGCTGCGTCACCTTTAAGAAAAATCTGTCTCCTGCAACAGTCTCAGCCCTCTACGATGGATTAGCTTCCTGGGAGAAATTAACTGTTTGTTTATTTCTTCAAAAATGCTTCATCATATGAATATTGATTCCTCATCTGAATTTACAATATTCCAGCTGGATCTTAATTTTTTTTTGGCTCATGTAGTTCACACACACAGTAGCAGCGTACTCTCTTTCTCTCTGTGCACGAATTTACAAAATTACTCCAGCAAACAGAAGATTATGAACTTTCCAGCATGAACGAGATCTATACAACTATTTCCAATGCATATTATTCAGGACAAAAAGTTATTTTTATACTCAAAACTGCCAGACTGAAGCAAATGAATGTAGATACTACTTTCATGTGATTATTCAAAATATCAGTGTTTTCACCTTCCAAGTGAGACTTGTGTCTTTGAGTATCAGTGAAAATAATTTTAACAAACCTAAGATCATCAGTTTTGATCCAAAACTTAACGATTCTCAATACATTAATATTATCTAGCTAAAAACCTGAAATAAATTTTCTGAAAGAAAATTTGATATACTGCAATCTCTTACTCACACTGTGAAAGTCACTGTAGTATTTCTCATGTTCCAGTTTTGTAACCTGTACTTACCTGACATCAAGTTTCTGAAGATTTTCTAATTCTCCTAAAGCAGAAGGAAGCGATGTCAGTTGATTATCATGCACCTGGAAAATAAAGTTTTTAGAATACAGTTACTAATTTGTACCTTGTAGGTTTTCTTTCCCTACCCCGGAAACAAATCAAGCTAACCTAATACACAGAATTTTGTACACAAGTACAGCTATGTACATGCCTCAAACCAATTACCAACTGCAGCACTGCAACTGCCAATCTGCAAAATTCTACTTAATTGATTGGAAACACTAAGAGATTAGATACAAAGTGGGGGAGAGAGTGGAGTGCAGGAAAGGTGGTTGCATCCAGTAATAGCTCTTCCTCCATAAATAAGTAATAGATCTTTCTACAGAACAGCACCCACTACCAGGGTATAAACTGATATATTACCAGATCTGTAACGATCTTTTCTTTATCCTGAGAATACACCAGTGCCAACTTCTACACATCCACCACTGCAGGGAAATGGAAAACAAAGATCTAAGACCATGTTTTCCCACTGCCTACAGGGAGAGTGCAATTCTACTGTAATGGGATCAGTGTACTTACATCCAGGACAGTGAGCGCAGGCAGAAGTTTGACATCCTCTGAAAGACACTGCAGTTTGTTTGAGGCGAGTATCAGCTTGGTCAGGTCTGTTTGCTCCCACCAGCGATCCGCGGCACCAAAAGAGAGATTTTGATGAGCTTCCTCCGGAGTATCCAAATTTATCCGCCACACATGTTGAGGCACTACATACACAAACAGACAGACGTCAACTACATTCTTCAGATATTGACTCTCAAAGCTTCACTGTCGTAATGCTTTTCAGACATACAGACACCCATACAGTCAACTGCATTTCTAGAGACATTTCTCCAGAGCTGACAATAGCAAGCTGATGGAAATCTGCCAGCAACAGCCAAAAGTAAGTCGATCTCCCAACAGATGGCAGGAAATATGCATTGTTGTTGCTCCCTCTGTATTTTTCCTGTCCTGCCCGGACGGCACGGCCAAGCATAAACCCAAGGCACAGGAGGAACAGCAGCCCCGCGGAATCGGTCGGTCAGCAACCGCCGGCAAACACGGCGCCCGTTCCCTCGGCTGAAGAGCCGTGGGTTTTCCCGGAGAGCCGAGGCCTGGGCACAAGGGCAGGCAGCCGGCCTCCCCCGGCCCCGGCCCTCCGCGGCAGCACCGCCGCTTCCCGCGAGCCTGCAAACCCGGCTTAGCGCGACCGAGGTGCGGGGAAAAAGGGGCGTCACCGCCAGACGCAGGGGACGGCGAGGAGCACCGCGTCCCCGCCGGCACCGAGCTCACCCTCGCTGAGGCTCCGGCCCGACAGGTTTAACTGCCCGCTCTTCCGAGCCGCCCGGATCAGCCCCTGCGGCACGGCGGGGCCCGGCTCCGCCGCCGGCCCCCTGAAGCCAGCCCGGGGGTCCCCCGCCCGCCCTCTC